TGCTTGTGTAAGTGGTTACCACTGCCTGAAATGCTAAGGGCTTCTTATCTTTAGCTTCAAAAGACTTGATCCCAACAGAAAAGTCACCTGTAAGCTGCCAGCTACCTATATTTTGAGTTAAGCTTCCTTGTGTGTCTTCCCCTCCCCCACCCACCCACCAAACTAAGGGACTTGAAGACAAGGACCATGTCCTCCGTTTCTGAGTCTCCTCTTGAGTATTTTATCCAGAGCAGGAGAGTAGGTGCTCGATACACATTTGTTGTCTTATTTATATCGTGATGTGAACAGCAGAGCTGGTTTTCATCATGAGAATAGACAGAGTGGTGCGGGGGAGAGTGAGGGTAAAGGGTACTGAAGGCCCAGCAAGCACACATTGCTAACTTCACAACAACATTAGGAAACACCCTACCTGTTGTGATCGATCAGCGATGGGAAGTACTAAAAGCCAAAGGCTAAAGTGGAAAACTTAGGAAGGTATGAGACAGGACTGGGGACAATACAAAAAAAGCAAATACTACTGGATGGATTTCCTGAGACATGGAAAATCCTAAATCTTGAGATATTTAATGATACAAATATTTTCAAATGTATTGGGCTAAAATCCTGGAGCACACTAAGATTTATCTAATTTGGTTCCTTCTATTTGTAAACATTTTATACAATAGATTCCTAGAAAGTTGAATATCACCCTATAGAGATAGAGACAGGGACAGGGATGGGGATAGGGATAGAGACGGGGTGGGGGAGGGAGAGAGGAAGAAGGGGGGAGGGGGAGAGGGAGAGATTGATTGATTTACATTCAAAGTGCATTAAACAGTTCTAGTCCTGTGGTTTTCACTCCTAGTGAAAATGCCACCTCACTCAATATAGGAATCAATCTAGCAGCTGCTTGAATGTCTCCTCTGACAGGGAGTTCTCTACTTCACAAACCAATCTGCTCCACTGGAGAACAGTCGTTGCTTTGATTTTGTTTAATGAGATCCACATATAAGTAAATTTTTTTTCTAAGTGAAATAACGGGAGAGCACTAAAGCAATGAATGCATACTTCCCAAAGTTTACAGACACTGGTACCAGCACCAACTCTACTTCCTTTTTTTTTTGCAAAAATCAGAAGAATCCCTCCTTCTGCAGCCTGAAGTCTTTTATAATTACCTAGAAAAGCAAGCCTCCTTTCTGCAAGGTTCAGTGTTTATAGCTGGTGAAGCGGGTAGGGCACTATAATCCTTTGGGAGTCATTCTCACTGTCTAGAGCAGCGGTTCTCAACCTTCCGAATGCTGCGACCCCTTAATAAAGTTCCTCATGTTGTGGTGACCCCCAACCATAAAATTATTTTCGTTGCTACTCTATAACTGTAATTTTGCTACTGTTATGAATCATAATGTAAATATCTTTTTGTTTTCCGATGGTCTTAGGCGACCCCTGTGAAAGGGTCGTTCGACCCCCAAAGGGGTCGCGACCCACAGGTTGAGAACCGCTGGTCTAGAGGCATTTCAGGGCTGGGGGTACTATTCTGTCAATAATAGGGAAATACATACTTAATTGAAAGTAATGAACCAAGGCTCTGACTCTCACCAGCACTAACCATCCTTGTGACTGGAGGTCACTTAACTACTCTAGGCCTCAGTTTCCTCATCCAGAAAGAGAAACGTTTGATTAGATGATTTCCACCGTCCCTTATAAAATAATTCTATGCTCCCCATCAGCGGCACTGAAAAAACCTGTAGCCACAGCATTCTTTTGAATTTCATGAAAGCTGTATGAATTAAAATTTTAAATACCTGAACTATAATGTGTTGCATCAATTCCTTATCATCCCTGAATTCTGGTAATGCAACAGAAACAAATGTTAAATGTTGAAGGAATACTTATAGAAAATACATTAAATTGAGAAAAACTGTCCAGCAATATTTTTGCCTTCTGTATTGAAAAAAAGATGAGACTTCGGTTTTATTTTAGCAGAGGAACAAATATGTCCAGCTGGCAGGGGGAGGAGGAGATAGTTTGAAAACTTCTGATCCAGATGTTTCTGACTCCTTCCACCACTGGCCCCACACCAAGCCTTCCAGAAAGTGCTCTGAGCTGGGCCTGGCTTTGGGAATGGACTTTGATCTCTGATTATCCAAGGATCTCATTTACATTCACCTGAACCACTCTATACCCCACAGTACCTAAAAACTTCCAGACTCTTTTCTCTCCCAGGGAAGGGACTCAAAAATTGTCATATCAGGAGGTGAGTAACCCATGACACTTTCTAGCTCTTTACAGAATCAGGAACCTTGATTAATGAGGCCTCCACTTCACTCCTGAGAGATCAGTGCAGGAAGGTGAGGGCAGTACCCTTATCAAGCTTCAGTGCCTGACCATCTCTGATATCACCAAGAATGCCCACTACTACCAAAAGAGTACACTTTAATACCCTCTGTCGAGGCCAGACAGCCAACTCTTAGAAAGCAAACTCTTTACTATTAAACATTAACCTATCCATCAACACAGGAACATTTTGGAACAAAATGATCGGCTCACTTCCTGAAGGGCTGTTGTTGGAAGGAACATTGCAAGTGTTCCATGCATCTTGAATTTGGGGGTAAGAAATGGCTCTGCTGAACCAAAAGAATCACAACTCTTAAGAACTAATGCACCGAATGATCAGCTGACAGCCCCCTTGGCAGGGGACACACTGCACTTGTGAGGTACGTACTCTGGGAAAACAGGACAACCACTTAGATGTCACACCAACTTTCAATGTATTGGTTCACCTATTTTAATGACGCCTTTGTCCTACAAGGAGTCTGCAGCCAGCAAACAAGAGCCAGACGCGAAAAGTAAATATGTCTCTAAACAATTAGCCCAACAGGAATTGGACAACCCCTACCGGGACTCTGGAAGGTTGAGGGCCATGCTGTTTGCCCTGCCAGTCTGCAACACAAGAAACCAAGGCAAGTCGCTGAGGGCAGTCATACTGGGCGATGTAGCTCCCACAGCAGTCCCCTAGGCTATTCGCAGGCAATCCTGGCTGTTGTTCTTATACCTGCCGCACTCACAAATAATTCAACGCCTGATTATCCCACTTTTTTTTCCTGCTCCCATCCCGGCTCCCTCGATCTCTAGCGAAAGAGGCTCTACAGCCGGGTATGTCAAAATCATTCTTCCTCGCCTCTCAAGTTTCTGGCGACGATTAATACACATAAGAGCACAGGACCTGCGCCGAGCAGCACGGGAGAAGCTGACACTTCGCACATCTTTCAAGATTACCCTCAGGCCCCACCTCTGCGATTGCAACATTTACCAATAGGCATCACAATTGTAAATGGACAAAAAGTTCCCTTGCCGGCTCCTGAGCCCGGAGCGAGGGCAGAGAAGTTGACTATAACTTTGTCTTTTGATTGTTCGGTCATTATCATTGGTATTATGATGCAGGCTACATTTGATTTTACAAAATGCGTTGGAATCTTCCCTGTTTCGCTGCCATTCAAAGACAGAGGACTCCAGGGCGACGGTCCCCCGGGGGCACAGTCTCGGGGCCCTGGGTGACTGGGCCAAGGTTCGCTCACCCGTCTCAGGCCTGGGGGCGCCACAGTGACAGGGGAGCAGCGGTCTGGAAGGGGGGAGCCGGGCTCAGTCCCTTCCCCCACGCGATCAGAGAGCTAACGGCCCGGGCGCCCCGCCAGAACTCCCGCGATTTGCTCCCTCTTATCAAATCCTTATCGGTGCCCCAAGGTGGGAGCCGCGGCTTTCGACCAGAGGATACTCAGTTTCTAGCTCCGTTCTCGCAGTGGAAGTCGGAACAGAGCAAATCAACACTTAACACTGCGCTCTTTGGGCCCCCGGCTGCAGGCCAGTCCCCTCCGCCCTTCGTGGCTGGGTCCGGGATCCCGCACCGCCTCACAGCCGCCCAGCAGCTGATCTCCAGAGGTTCAGGTTGTTCAGCTGGCCGCATTCGAGTCCAGCTCCCTGAACCCCAGTCCTCTCAAGCCACTGCCGAGTTCGGGGCTGAAAGTTCCAGCCCGCTGGGGCAGCACCAGTGGAGATAGGGGATGTGGGGTGCCAGGCGGCAAGCAGCGCACGATTGAAGGAAGAGACGCGGTAGACTGTCTGCGCGGCCGCGCGGAGCACTCTCACTCCAGCCGGGAGAGGACCGGGCGGGGATCAGCCCGGAGAGGGCGGGAGGGCAGTGTGAGTTGGCCGGAGTTGCCTCTCACTCAGTGCCTAGAGGCTTGGCGAGGGCAGGCAGGCAGATCGCTGCTGCCCTTCTCTGTCCTCTTGGGTGAGAAACACCGGGACCTGCCAGGAGCGCCCGTTGTCGCCATCCCCTCGTTCCACACCAAGACACCTACCCCCGCAAGGCAGCCCAGCCCACTACCCACTCTCCCGCGGAGTCAAGGAGCGGGATAAGGAAGGGGGCGTTTTCTAAGCGTCAGTGGGGTCTGGAGACCCGGAGTGGGGCCTTTTGCTGCGTCCTGGCCGCTCCGCGGGGCAGTGTCCTAGCGTCGCGTTCCACCTCGGACCCCTTGCCAGTTTGGGACGCGAGAGGGCATGGCAATTCATTTGGACAGACCCAAAAAGTCCGGAGTAAAAGAGAACTGGATGCTGCCCCGCATGCGAGACTTAAGAAAATCGAAAGCTGACTTGAGTTAAATCAACCCAGAAACATTTCAACCTGCTGGCCGCGGAAGTTCGGGGTAGGGGCGGGGGGGAGATCTTGGAAGGTACCGCGGGAGCACCTCCGAGTTGCAGGGCCATTTCCCTCGGCCTCCCGGCCTCGTTTCACGCTCCGATTCCCGATTCTTTCGGGCCACAGCACTCTCCACTGCGAAACTGCAGCACCGCGTCCCCAGAGGGGCACCTGCTTTCCCCGCTCAAAACCTCCCAAACCTATCCTCGAGCCTCAAAGACCTCTCCGTACTCCTCTCCTAACTACTCTCAACCGCGCCAGCCGCACAAAGCCCAGCCACCCCCTTCGGACCAGCTTCACAGCCGGCTTGGATGCGCGTTTTTACCTTTTCTTCTCCTTGTCAGCTGTCATTGTCGCTGTGGACCTTTTGAGACGCCGAGCACCTGGGTTCCCTTGGCCAGTGGGGGCTTGCAGCCGCTGCCTTCGCTGTGGCCCTCGCCCCGCTCCCTGAGGTCCAGGCCGGTGTTAAAGGTCCTAAGTGCTCGCAGGCCCGAGAGCCCCGCACAATCAGGTGCAAGTTTGCGGGCTGCTGGCTAGGTGCGGGAAAAGGGGGTGGAGAAAGGTGACAGGGAGGAACCTGCACCGGGAGGCGGGGTCAGAGAAAGGAGTGGGAGGAGGCTGTCAAACGCAAAAAACGAGGGCAGCGAAAAGGGGACCGAAGTTCTTTTTTTCCCTCTAAAAGCAGTCACTTTCCTGGGTTATCAAAAAAATAATAAAAGTGACTCTAACGACGGCAGTTGAAAGAGTCTGGGGCCGGGCGGGCGCGGCGGCTGAGATGACCATACAGTCTCAGGACACTGCCGAGGATTGTACGGTCGGCTCAGGAGAGCTGGGCGAGTGCAGCAGACGCCGGAGCAGTGCGGCGGGCCGCTCCCGAATGTCTGGTTCCCCCAGCTGCCCTCCCACTTTAAAAACTCCGGCGGCCCACGCCGGGGAGGGCACGAGGGGTGCGGGCCAGGAGGCGGGGCCGGTGCGCTCCCGGAGGCCCCGCCCGCGCTGCACCGCCCGCCCGCCCGGGCAGCCCACTACGTCCCGGCCAATGGGAAGGCGCGGCCTCAGCCTCTGCCCCGACCTCGGCCCGCCCCCTACCCGGCGCTCCGCTCCGCGGCGGTCTGCCCTCCCCGCCTCCTTTCTCCGCAGTTGCAGAAGTTGTTTATGAGGTCCGCGGGGTGGTGGGTAGCAAGGTGGGGAGTTCGCTCCAGGGAGGGGAAGCTTATGGGGGCTAAACGATAGCAATAGTCGGTCTCTGGGAGTGCTGCGGAGAGCGGAATGCTCCTCTGCACTGGTGTCCTCCCACCCCTGCCATGCCCTTGGGACGAGGACAGGACCGCCAGCGCCGAGGGTCCTGCGCCGGGCCTTGCTGGCAGAGCCACTCTGCGATGCTGCGCTCGCGCGCCCCTCACGCCGCAGCACGGCCTCTCGGCCTGGTGGGGAGAATTTCGAGGGCCCCAGCGGCTGCTCTGCGGGCTTGGGCGATGCGCTTTTTTCCGCAGATCGCCCCTACTTTACCATTTGGAAAGCGAGATGGGGAGACCTATTACGTGCTCCTGTCGGGTTTGGGGAAAACAGTGCAGTGAAACTGAGCTAGGGTTGCGCCTGTTCTTCCCTTTCCTCAACTGGCATGTTGGTTGCTTGCAGAGTTGTACTGAGAGGTATACCAGCTTTGGCTGGGATGCAGGAGAGTAGGGTCTGGCCTGCACATCCTACTCCCACCCAATACCTGCCACCATCGCCTGGGTTCGGGCCAGTTCAGAATTGGACATGTCAGTCTGGCTTCCCAGTGTTATCTTGGGATAAGAGTTGAGAGCCTGTCCTTCGGATCATGAGATCTCAGACCTGCCCTATGAGTCTCCGGGGTTCGATTGAAGCCCTAGGAACGTGAGGCTGCAAGAGTGAGATGTGGGGAGATCAGAGAGATCTAAGGGGCCGATGGTTAGAGCTTAGGGATTTTCCAGCTGCGCTTTGAATGCTGTCTCCAAACCTTTTAGGCCTGACGCCTCTGTCCTGCGCTGAGCAACTCTCCCAAGAATCCCACCGCATTCCCCTACCTAGGTTACCATGATCCAGCCGGGATATCTCAGGAAGGGACTGGGGAGGCTCTTAATCTTTGAAGCGCTGAGAAGGGCCCACAGGTTTCACAGATGTGAGTTGAAGACAAGAGAAAGCAAGGGCCACGGGAACTGGTCCTTCCTGGGACCGGAAACCTTGCTGTATCTTTTCCTGCTTAGCCTTATCACATTTTATATTAAATAATCTGCCTGTAGAACCTCCAGGACTTTATGTTAAGTGACATAAATGAGTCACAAAAGGACAATACCGTGAGATTCCACTCATGAAATATCTAAAGTAGTCATTTATAGAAATAAAGTAGGAAGGTGATTACCAAGGCCTGGGCAAGCAGTGGGAATTAGTGTTCAGTGGGTATAGAGTTTGTTTTGCAAGGTGAAAAAGTTCTAGAGGACCTGTTGCACAACGATGTGAGTATATTTATTGAACTGTACACTCAAAAATGGTTAAGATGGCAAATTTAATGCTGTACGTTTTTACAATGCAAATATAAATATCAAGAAAAAAGCAGATTTAGGGTTATAGGTTTGTGTCACCACCATTATACAAATTAACATGCATTTTCCCCTTGTGTATGCATGGTAGGAGGGGCCTTTGGAAAGCATTGGAGAGAAGAATTAGGGAGAGATGAAAACACCTGTGGAGAACTGGGGAACTAGGCACGTTTTTCTCATTTTCCTAGAGCCATTGAGCATGGGGCACGTAGATTTTGAAATCAGACATCACACCTGACATGACAGCCAATTGATTCAAACAGAAATGGCAAATCTCTCCAGGGAGCCATTTCTTGGGACTGGTGGGTTTCAGAAATGGGATGATTTCATACTGGGCTTCTCCAGCCAGCCAATCCTCATGGACACATTTATCTTAATGAGGAATTCAAATTGGTAAGACATGGTTCTCAATTAATCGGAAATAAGCTTACTCACCTTACTTGGGACTAGAGTGGAAGAAGAAACAGGTGCTTTGTTGGCTTCCAGGTACCCAAAGCCAGTCACTGCCAGAGCAAGGAGAAACTGCTGAGTCCTGAGCTGTGCTTGCAAATCACAAGGCAACACCTCCAACCCATAGAGAACATTTCAGCAGGGCTGAGCTTATGAAATTAGCTTTTTAGATGTTAAAAGAAAAAAAAGACGAAAGTTAAAAGGTCACTCAGGAACAGATCAGCCATATTAATATAGCCTATTCCCCATGACCAGCCTGTCCATCTTTCTAACTGGGATTTTGCCCTCTAAGTGATAAAAGTCCCTAAGCTAAGATAAACAATTGGACAGATTTTGTGGAAATTCTAGTGAGGAACTTCAAAGAATCTGGGATTTTGGCAGTGTCTAGAGCAGCGGTTCTCAACCTTTCACAGGGGTCGCCTAAGACCATTGGAATACACATATTTTCGATGGTCTTAGGAACCGAGACGCCACTCCTCTATCCGTCTCCAGGCCCACATGTAGATACGCCCACATACGAGTACCCAGCAACCCCTGTGAGAAGGTCGTTTGACCCCCAAAGGGGTCACGACCCACAGGTTGAGAACCGCTTGTCTAGAGATTCACCAAAAGCCTGTGTAATTCCTAGCAGGATTGGACCCAGCAGAGCTGAGGAGCCCAATGGCCTCTTAAGATTTTTTTCAGGATTCAATTCAACCAACTTTGCAGGAAGGATCTGAGAGTGTAAACCAGACAAAGACTTGAAGCTAGAGTGTCCGATTTTACTTTTTAAAGCCCATAGAAAACTAAAAGATGATGGCAGGAAGAGATAGATCCCAGGATTTAGTGTCTCTAGCAACATTAATGTTTTGGCCACAGATGGCAGCAGAGGGCACCGCTAAGCAAAGCTCCCAGGCTACTTAAAATGGGAGCGAACTGCCATCTCCCAGCAAATCTCTCTACCTGTCTCCCAACTCTAGACTGGACGGCTTGGCAACAAAGCCTGTGGCAGCAAGGAAGTAGCCACTTGTTTTTTAACAAAGGGCAAGACTAGGTCTCTAGCTTCTTCTCTCCTCTATAGAGTACACCCTTAGGTGGATGGGATAGAGATGAGGAGTTAATTTACAAACTGGGTAGAGAGCAGGCACCTGGGATGAAGTAGGCAGGTGGAAGAAAGAGGGCCTCAGTAATCCCATTCAAGTGGCAGGCAGTATGGCCCGGGATATGGTTGGAAATCAGGTTGGAATGGATGGGATCTAACATCAGAAGAGATCTTGGAAGCCTGGGCTATTTCTTTAGTATTTTACAACTTTCAGTGCATTGAGGCAAGAGAGGCCCCTGGGATGTAAAAGAAGGCCTTTACTCTCTGGGTCATGCAGTTCCTGAACTAGTCCTGGCTACTCTCTGGGTCATGCAGTTCCTGAACTAGTCCTGGCCCTCCAACATCTGTTATCTCTAGGATTACCCACTTGGCTCTGGTCTGGCCATTTAGTTGGTTTGGGGCTGGGAAGAATGTACAGGCTAGGAAGCAGAAGTGGAAGGAAGGATCATCTGGCAGAGGCCATGGCTCCTTTCTGTTGAAATGCTTTTACTGAGTCACCCCTTTTCTCACACTTGCATGTTACTCCCTCTAAACAAAACCAGTTCTTAAATTGTTACTTCCCAAAATCTATCCTCATACTCCCTGTCACTGAACTCCAGGACAGAAAACCATACCCCCTGTGTTTGGCTTCAGGCCAAAGCTGTGGGATATTTCACACACACATATGCTATATCTACCATTAAATGTGGGGACTTTTGACCTCCAAAAGAGTTCTGTGATTTTTATTGAGTAAAAGATCAAGCTTTTTTTTTTTTTTTCCACTTGAGTTCCTAAGTGCTTACTGATAAGGACCCAGTGTTAAAGAGCCACAGCTCCCTCCACCCGTTGTCTGGATTATCAATGATTTAAGGATTATCAATGATTTAAAGACTAATGTCTTTCATTTCTAGGTCGAGGGATGAGATTTTGGCCCACAAAGCGTCTTGCATGTTTATCATTCTGTCATTCAACTAATGGTGAAGGAGTCATTGGTCCATGGCCACCATGCAGTGCTTCTTCAGGAAGAATGAAAACATCAGTCTGCTGGAAGAGAGAGCCAGTGGTTCCCTTCCCTCCAGGAGACAATAACCCAGTTATGCACACACTGCCTTTCCCATTTACTTACTTTTTAAGGCTTCTGAAATCAATAAGCATCTTTTAATGTAGTCATAATTCCAAAACTGTTTTAATTGATATATACAATTTATATATTCTTAATTTTTTAATATAAAAATTGAGAGCAAAATCATATAGTTTAAACAATGGGTGTTATAAGAATTTGGGGGTGGGTGCATGGGAGGGTGGAGAGAGTGAGTGAAAAAACAGAAAAAGCTAGAGTCCCAGCCATGTCCACTGCTAGGACCCAGAGAGAAAAAGGCATAGCAGAAAGGAAGGTGCTACTGTCACTAAATGATGACATTGGGCCCCAAGCAGCACTACTCTGGTGCCTGGATAACTAAGAATGACACAGAGTAGGAATCAGAGATACCCTTCCCACTATTATAGTCTGATTTTGGCGGGCCTGTAACAAATGTTAAAATGGGACTTTTTCTAGCTCAGTTTCAACTGAGGTCCCAAGACATTGGGCTGCCCTTGGGGAAGGGGTGAGACCTTGGACACACCACCTGGGGGGAATGTGTCTTTCATTCCTGGAGGCTGATCTAAGCAGCGATCACAAGATCCAGTATGGTACACAATGTCTGCGGGACAGATGTGGAATCCACAGGAAGAAACCCATGTAGGATTTTTAAGGGGACCCTGTCCATGTAAGTTTCTTCAAATAGATCTCAGCAGAAAAAGGTGGAGATGCCACCGGAAGCAGGGCA